ACCCCTCAAAAACTTAATCGTCTTATTTATGGCGAAACACTTGCCGTTACGCCTAGTATCGTAAATAGAAGGGGATCAATGAGCCTCTCTTATTTCTTCGTGCCTAAGGATAAAGAATAACCCTTCGGACTTCCCTTTGTCTTGTGAACTGAACCGCTTGTTTGAGTTACACTAGGGCCATTAAAATTAGTCATATCTGCCCGAGGATGACTATTAATGCCAGACGACTGCATGTTGTCCTTGAAATGGCTTCCTATTGTTGAAATAAATAGAAGGCTCTTTGGGGGCAGATTTTTAATCTTCCAAAATAATCTGAATCGTCTTGATGTCAAGAGAATTTGAAGAGTTTATGAGATATAGATTTGATGCAAGTGAAGCTCTTCTGGTTGGGTACTTAATCCTCAAATTACCATCCTCTGATTGACCTAGCTTTGGATCCTTGATCTCGATCGTGTCTGCATAAAACTGGAAAGGTTTTTTTCCACTTGAATAACTTACCTTCATCCAAGTTCAAGGTCTTTGGATATATTTCCACCAATCCCCAGAAATAAATTCCTATAGCTTCAAAACAATTCAAAGTCCGAAACTTAAGAGGTAAGTCTTTAATTCTGATTCATCCACCATAACCATAGATAAATTCCTTTCTGCTTTGATTTTCAAAGTCCCAATTCCCCAACTTGTAATGAAAGTTTCCAATTGATCCTCCCCATGCCCATTTAGCTCCTCTTAGCTCAACATTTTACCATCGAACTTCATTAGGGCTTTGTCAGTCATGAATGGTTAATCAAACAACTTTGAGATAATTTTTCCTTTTAGGTCTAAAGAAATCTCCTTCCGTTCATCATGAGCACATCTCTTCGATATTACTATCATGCTATTCCAATCTAATTCCAACACCTTGCTCTCTTTCTTTGCTGATTTCTCTTTAACCAACCACAATCGATTAATCTTATCTTATGAATAGGACAAGTGTTGAAAGCATCTCTAATATTATGAAAGAAAGCCAAGTGAACTGGAATTTGCAGTAAATTGACTGGTTTTCAAATCATAAGAAGTAAGAACTTAGATGATTGAAGAGGCATTAGGGATTTTCTACTCACATCCTCAAACATGAGGATGTTTTTTTTGGCCCATATGCAGAAAACTTATTATCAATGCGGTAACTACTAATTTCCATTGTGCAATAGCTTAGTATCTAAAATTACTGATCTGAACTAAAATCAATTCAAAGAAAATCAATCTAAACCAGACAGATATTTTTGAGTACAACATGCGAGAGTGGAGACTCGAACTCACGGCCTCTTGGTCGTAGCCAGATACTCTTAAAATCAGCCTTAATGGACAAACTCTAACATTCTGAAGAAGTGAAGTAGAAGAGAGGAGAGAACATATCTTCCACCTGGATTACGAGGCATCTTCCTGTTCCTATCTTCATTTATGTTCTATCTCTGTATAATGTCATGAACTACATTCTTTCCCATGAATTTAGATTCTGTTTCATAATTAATAACAAATATATTTACTCATGTATGTTTTTTCATGTTCTAAATGGTAAGGTCATTTTAAAAAGGCAGGAGTGTCATTTCATGCATATTTCTGATAGAAGAAAATTATATAGTTCAAACCGATATCCTAAGTTTAATATAAGTGTAGCTTAAACTAAGTTAAACAATAAAGTGTAGCTTGAACTATATTCAACAATAAAGTGGGATTATGGGTTGGCCAGGGGGGATAGATTTTTTTGGGGTGAGGTTATTTTTTGTCTTCATCACTGCTATTGCCATATTTGACTCTTTTACTTTAATTAGTTCATGTCTGGTTATTGCTAATTTTTACCATGCTTGCATTTTATCCTCAGAAGTGAGATAAATTTAGTAAGAGCTGAACGTAACAAGTTTGAACTCGCGTCGAGTTTTACTAAAGAAAAACTGGATAGTTTCATGAAGGAATTCGAACAGCAGGTGATTTTATAAAATGTTATATATCATTTATTAGAATATGGTGTGATAATTTCGATCATATTTTGTTGTCTTATTTTCATATTCTTATAAAATATAGAGGGTAGAAATGAATGGTGTGTTAGCTCGGAACGTAGAGTTTTCGCAACTTATAGTGGACTATCAAAGAAAACTGCGGGAAGTTTCAGAATCCTTGCAAAGTGCTGATGAACAATCCCGGAAATTGACTATGGAGGTAAAGCTCGGTACTTAACTATTAAGTGGGAATTGAAACGATTCTCAAATTGTATTTCTGTAATTAAAGGTGTCTGTCCTAAAGACTGAGAAGGAGTTGTTATCAAATGCTGAAAAGAGAGCACAGGATGAAGTGCGGAATCTATCTGAAAGATTGTTTCGCGTGCAGGTTTGTTATTGATAGTTCTTTTCTGGTCTTATAACTTTATACTGGTTCTCATATTTTTTAATGAGTGCAGGCTTCTCTGGATACCATTCAAAGCGTTGAAGAAGTTCATGAGGTTGGTTATTTATTCTGTTTCTGTCTGTCTGACTTTTTTTTTTCTTTTTGTTTTTATATATAATATATAAAGATTCAAATAGAAAGTTTATAACTAATTGTATATTGTCATTTGGCTATACAACTTCGGATCTATTAGGAGGCCAGAGTTGCAGAGAGGAGAAAACTTGAGGAACATGCTAAACAACTGGAGGTTAGTTCCATTGAGTTCTTCTGTTTGTGATATTATTAATTTTTTTTTTTTTTTTTGGGATAAAGACAATGTATTCAAGAAGATCTCAAAAAAGGACAACCTAAGGGCATAGGGTTGGAATTACTTCCCCACACTCTAAACAATAGTGGCTTTCCAATTGCTAATTATCATTTGTTGGCTATAATTAGAGAAGAATTTCTTGTGGTTTGTGATATTATTCATTGGAGCAGGTTATATTATTTATTGTTTAGAATTTGCTGAGTAGTCTTCAGTTATAAAGTGTATTTCTTGGGTTATTTTGGCTGGTATTGCCAGGTCTACTGGGTTGTTTTTGAATTTAGTTCTTTGGATCAAGCAAATTGGTTTTGGTTTGTTTTTTGTATTTAGTAATTTGCCTTTTTTCCCCCCTTCAATGTATGTCATTGAAACTTCTTTGTAATTTTTCATCCCATCGATGAAAATTTTTGTTTATCCAAATCAAAATAAAAAGTTTCTGTCAACAAAGCAATTATGAAATTCATTTTCCTTTGTCTTAGGGTTTGATTGTAAAGAGATAATTTCCGTGTTGCCCGTGAAGTTCATATTTTTCAGAAACTAAAAAATGAAATCGTGCCCACGGATTTTTATTTTCTGTTACAGCAGCTGAATTTTCGTATTAACTTTTGGATTCTGAAAATTTTCTAATTCTTTTTTAAATTTCTGAAAGTTGAGTTGTATTTTCTGTTACAGCAGCTGAATTTTCATATTAACCTAGAGTTTTGTTCTTGCTTTTAGATGGATTTTCAAGGTCGGCTTTTAGATGGATTGCTCATTCCTCCCCTCCCTCCATTTTACTTTTCTGGTTTGATTAGAGATTTTTTTTCCTATTAGAGTGAAAAAAAGTAAATGAAGTTTGATTGTAAAGAGAGAAATATCTTACATGTTTGGCGAGGATTAATTTTTTGTAGCCTTTATTTGGTCTATTCGTACAATTAAATATCTCAGATTTTGCTTCCATTGAATGATAAAAGATGCTATTCCTCTTTAGTTGAAACTTCACTATCTCTATTAATGCTATTGAGGTCTGTCTCTCTTGCGTTTAATTCAAAATGTAGTCTATACCTCTTACGATATACTCTATGATTTCCATGTTTGTGATAAATTGTTCTCGAAGAGGGAATGGGCTGAGTTGAAGAAAGAGTTGCAAGAAGAAAGAGACAATGTTAGAACGCTCACTCTTGATCGTGAGAAGACTTTGAAGAATGCAATGGGTCATGTTGAAGAGATGGGAAAGGAACTATCAAATGCACTACATGCCACTGCTGCTGCTGAGGCACGAGCTGCTATTTCTGAGGTGCTCTCTCTCTCTCTCTATGTACCTTTCTATTGACTGTCAATATTTGTTGATGCATTTGTTGATAATTCTTTTTAGTGATCATTGTTCATTTTCTTTGTTCTATTTACCTTTTTTGTGCTTCAGGCTAAATTGTCTGAGCTGGAGAAGAAAATCAGTTCTTCAGACAATCAGGTTTTCATTCTAATTAACTCAGCTTCCTTCAGTTATGTACGATATGCTTCATTACTTGCAACCGCTAATTTTTGTATATGCTAATCTTAGACAACTTTTTTTTAATCATCTTGAACCCATCTTGGTTATCTTGTTTTCTATTATTAGGACACTGTTGGTTAAATAAACTTTCTTATTTTAGTGGCTACATCGAATTTTCATTTTCTTGTGAGGGTAGTGGTAGTTAGGTTGATTGTAACTATCTGTCTACTTTAACTAATTGTAGCCGAACAAAAAAAAAAAAATTTCTGCATTGACAAAGGGGATTTAGAATTTTTCGTTTTCGATGCATCACACATGCAAATGAGGGCAAGTTCACTTGGTTGCAGCTTATAACAACCATATGCTTTTCTTTTGTGAGAAAAAAGAGGGAGAATCATTTAAAAGAATTAAAAATACAAACGGATATGGCACAGGAGTTACTAGCAGATGCTTCCATTTGAAGCAACAATAGTGGGATAGTTTTTGCTGAACTCCTTAGTTATGCAGGAGCAATAATGTGCATTAAAACTATCAAGCCAAGGATCTGAGATTGGTAATTGAATTACAGGTTTAGTTTAATAAAAAAATTTCTTGTTAATTTTCCTCGTTTTGGCAGGTCGTTGATTTGGATGAAAGGAGTGGACTTAAGTCTCAGCCTTCAAATCAGGTAGTCTTATCATACAACTGATTGTGACGTATACTGTTTTGTAGGATTTTGCTGGTGCAACCTTAGCCAAAAAAGGTCTATTTGTACAATTACACAGTAATTAAAACTAAGCTACTGTAAGTTATAAACTAACCTTCAGTAAACATAATTAGAAAATAGTAAAAATTTCAAATACAAATAATACTAATGAAGAAGCCTACATGAATTTCCTCCGTCCTTAAAAAAAGTTGTCCCTTAGACATAACTCACTGTTCGTCTGACGGAAACTACACAAGCAGGGTTCTAAGTAGTGTTTTCCAAAGTGGGAAGCACACCCAAGCACGATAGCCCTTTATGGCTTAAGCGTGAGGCGGAAAAAAACAAAAATAAAAAAAAAGAGAAGGAAAGAAAGAAGCAAGGACTCCAATGAAGTGTAGTGTACAATATATCGAAGAAATCACTAGAGATTTCACTCACTGATAAAGAATGCATTCTAGACTAGAATTTATAGTTTAAAAACATGATGGACAATTTTTAAAGCAATATTCTCTATTAATTTAATAATTTTATTTCTTGTTGCATCCGCTATTCGAATTTTTTCATTGGAATATGTAGAAGAGTAAGATTGAAAAAGTTGAGAGGAAAAAGTCATATGATCGGAAGTTTTGGAATCTGAAGTATAGATGAACTAATTGTATGATAAGAAGTTTTGGAGTCTATAATCCACAAAGTTGAATTGAGGCTAAGGAAACAGTAGGAGGATGATGAATTAGTCTTTAGCGGCTTCAGTAATAGATCCATTGCTCTTTACTGAACTAGTTTGAATCAACAATATTTGCACTACAACACAACTGGTTGTCGCCACTCCTCTTAGCTACTTTATTACTCTTCCAATTTGTTGGTTTCCCGTGAAGATTTCGATAAATTTCACTTATAGGTTTATTGCAATAGTCATACTAGACAGGAGATTTCTCATTCCGTTCCTCTTTGATTATTTGAAGCTTGATTAACAATTGCTTCATTCACCCATGCCCTTCAATAGTGTTGCTTGTATTTTTCTTACTATATATAACATTGTGATGACTTTCTTCGCGTCAAATTTTAGAAAAAAACTTGGATGGAAGAGGTTCTCTACCAATGATCTTGCCTTTGACCTCATGAAATTTCATATTTGGATTGGCAAGAAATTTTTAAATTCGACCCTCCTCTGTTGTTTCTCAATGATGTTTAGAGTCATTCGATGATTTCCACTTATTAGCACCAAAAAAGTTAGGTCTTGGCAATTCCTTTTTAAAGAATGAAAATATTTTGTAACTCTATCAGTTCCTTGTCATACTTCACTTAGTTTTAGGGCCAATTCAAATAGTTGTGATTGATTTTCCAAGTCAGATACATCTCATTTACGTTCTCCCATGATTCCTTTTTTGTAAAATAACACATAGAGTTGACACTAGTCTCACCATCCATAGAATTAATTAACCAACCAAGTCCTTGCCATGAAATTTTCAGCCTTCCTCATAGTAAATAAAGGATTTTTTAGTAATAGATGCTTTTTTTTTTTCTTTCCGTGTCCAGTACTATATCCAATTTTACGAGCCTACGAATATTTATTCGAACACTTTGAGACCAATAAAGATAATTATTTCTATAATTCAGATGTTAGTTATTCAATAGCAAAAGCAGAACCCAATGTTTGAACTCTAGGTGCAGCTGCGAACAACAACCACGAAAATGAATAATGGTGAATACTAACTAAAGAAGACATTCAACGAAGATAACTCCGACGAGCGGACGATGATGAGCTTCGAACTTAACCAATGAAGATCTGCGAACAACAACCCCACGGAAACCAATGATTTCGAGGCGCACCCGAGCACTCGCCTCAGGTGAGAGGTGAGGCGATTTCTCCCAAATGCGCCTTGCAAGGTGCCCAGGCGAGGGCCTTCAACGGGTGCTCGTCTTTGCGCGCTAAAAGACCACCTCAAATGAAAAACCATAAAAATTATCCCACCCTTGCAATTCTCCTTGACAGCTTCTTCTTCTTTGTCTTTTGTTCGCCTTATTTGTCTTTGCCGACAACTGTTTGCCTCGTCGATCGTCGAAATTAAAAAGAAAAACATTAAGATGGAAGAAGAATGAGGAGTCGAAGAAGAAGAATAAAAAGTAGAAGTGAAAGGAAGAAGAAGTGTCGTAATTAGGAAGAAGAAAATTCAGATGCAATTATGCAAAAGAGAAGAAAAATAAGGAAAGAGGAAGAAAAATTACATTTTCAAGAAGTATTAAATGAGGGCCATGCATGGTATTATTGCCATTGCGTTTTACCACATGAAGTTTTTTAAATTAAAATTTTTTTTTTCTTAATTTAAGTGAACTTTTATTTAAATATTAAATTAATTTTTTAATTTTTTAATGTTTTAATGTTTTAAAAGATGTAAGTTAATATTTTTTCCTCTTTTATTTATTTTATCTGTTTCTTCCTTTATTCTCTCGGGCTCTTTTCTTTATTTTATTTGATATATTTACTGTTTAATCTTATTTAGTTTTTTATAACTTTGGCATTCCATATATATATATATGTATGTATAAAAGGTACGCCTTGCTTCACTCAGGCGTCACCTTTTTGTCACCGTTCGCCTTAAGGCGATCTAAGGGTTTGTCGCCTTGAGGTGCGTCTTGCGCCTTGAAAACGTTGACGGAAACCAAAGATGTTAAAATGGAGCCTCAACAACCCTGATAGCAACCCACGAAGATCCACGAACAACAACCTACGAAGACAAACCAATGCTTCTTCAATCAACGAAGATATTTGAACGACCTTAACGACGACCAGATCCTACAATAGACAACAACGACAATAGTGATGGTGGGTAGTGACAATGATGGCAGGCGGTGGTAGTGGCACTTTTTTTTCGGGCAATTCCTCCGTATTTTTAAGTAGTAGGGATATCTCTGCTCCTAGCACCAAAAACTCAACATGAATCATTTCTTGGAATGTTTGTGGCTTGGGAGATCATAAGAAAAGACTAGATATAAAGAAGTTCATTAAAAGCACTAACTCTACCTATCACTTTCTCACTTCCTGACATGAAAAAGATTTGTATTACTAATGTTTATGGGCCAAAGGATTATAGGGAACAAAAAAAACTTATGAAATGAGCTGCGAAATATAGCAGAACCCAGAGATAACCTTTGGAGCCTGGTGGAGACTTCAATGTAACAAGACGGACTTTGGATAGATCCTCAGGTACACAAAGAATTAGATGTTAAAAGGTTAAATACAGCAGAGAAAATCCAAAGAAAGTTACCACATTGCTCTCTCTCTCCATCTGTTTGTGGCTTATGTGTTAAGGAAGCGGAAATAGTGGATCATCTTTTTCTTCCTTGTTCTTTTGCGACTCCGGCTTGGCACCACATAGCTCCTCTTCTAGACTTCGCTTTTTGTTTACCTAAGACAGTGGATGATTTCATTGCTGAAGGCTTTGGTGGCTCCACGCTCAAAGGAAAAGCCTACGTCCTTATGAATTGTGCAGCAAGGGTTCTACTATGGCTTCTTTGGAAGGAAAGGAACAGTAGGCTTTTTGAGGAAAAAGAGATTCCTTTTGATTCTTTTTGTGTGAATATTAAACATACAACTTCTTGGTGAGCTTCTATCCACAAGAATAGTTTTTGTAACCATGGCTTCTTTTTGATTCTACAAAGTTAGAATTCCGTGATTGTATAGATCTTTAGGGGAGGGTTCTCTCTACCCTTTGTCTCTAGGTTGTTTTTGTGCCTTGCTTTAGGCCCTTGTTATTTTATCAATACAATTCCTTTGTTACAGCACTCACACCTTTTTGTGCCTTGATTCTACAAAGGATGTGATATTTGTTTCATCAATTCTAGAGTTTCCGGAGCTGAAAGAACAACATCTGACCACTTCCTCATACTTTTTGAACTTGGAAATTTTAATTGGGGTCCTAGCCCATTCGGATTCTTCAATTCGTGGCTGAAAGATAAGAGTTGTATAAGTTTTATAGAGGCAAAGCTATCGGAGGACCCCTCTTATGGATGAGCAGGTTTTTTGAGAATTTGAAAGGAAGAAAGGCTGCGGAGGAAAAAATCCTTGTGGATTTAAAATAGATTGATGCAAAGGATAAGTCCTATTTGTGCAGAAGAAGTGAAAAAGTAGATATAGCTTGCAGTAAAGTTATTCAATTTATACATTTTTGAGGAACAAAATCTTCTTAAAAAATATTAAATTTGTTGGCTCAAAGAGGGAGACGAAAACAACTTCTTTCATAAATATTTGGCTGCAAGAGAAAGGCAGTAATTTATGAATTAAAGAATGTTTGGAAACTCTCTAGTGAACCTTTCATAAATATTGAGTATGAAATTATGAGATTCTTTGCTGTTTTTTTATACAGCAAAGTAGGAGGTCCAAGATACGCACCAGCTGGAATCTGTTTGAGGCCAATTTCATCCCAAAGCAAAGCATGGTTGGAAAGAAATTTTGAAGACTCTGAAATATGGGTGGCTCTAAAGGTCCTTGGTAATAACAAAGCCCAGTGGCTCTTGGAAAAAGGACTACAAGAGGTTGTTTGCTGAATTTCATAGAAATGGCCATGTGAATGGTTGCACTAAAGAAAATTTATTTGTCTCGTTCCGAAAAAGAAAGAGTTGAGCAACCTGTGGAAAAAGGGGAAACTAATTGAGGATGCTATTCGACGGTTGATGGCATGCAAAAGACTATCGCCCAATTAGTATTACCTCTTCAGCTTACAAAATCTTGGCCAAAGTATTAGTGGAAAGGCTGAATAAGGTTATGTTTTGAACAATCTCATGAAATTAAAGTGCATTTTTGGAAAACAGATTCTGGATCCGATTCTCATTGCTAGTGGAAGAGTATAGATTGAAGAGGATATGTCGCTGGATGGTGGATACTCAAGCTTGATATTGAGAAAGCATTTGACAAAGTGGATTGGAAATTTCTAGAGGTGGTGCTTCATCAAAAGGGCTTTTGACAGAACATGGATTAATGGCTGTATTAGAGGCACAAAATCCTCAGTTTTCATCGATGGTAGACCTAGGGATAGAATCAATACTTCTAGAGGTTTATGACAAGGTGACCCTCCCCCTTTATTTTTTTTATTTTTTATTTTTATAATTATTAAGTGATGTTTTAAGCAACTTGATAGATAACATTCATTCCAAGGGAGTCTTTTGAGGGTTTCACCTTGGGAAGAGTTTGGTGCACATTTCACATTTGAGGGTTTCACCGTGGGAAGAGATTTGGTGCACGTTTCACATGTGCTGTTTAGAGATGGCACCCTATTGTATCGTAAAGATGATGAAGAGATGCTAAAGCATTGTTTGAAATGATGAAAGCCTTTGAATGACTTTCAGGCCTAAAGGTGAATTGGGAGAAATTTTCTTTGAGCGGTGTCAATATAGAAGATCAAAGAGTGGATTATTCAGCAAAGTTACTCAATTGCAAAGTAGAAAAGCTTCCGATTCTATAATTAGGTATGCCGTTAGGAGGAAATCCTAAGAATGATGTTTTTTGGGACCTTGTTCAGGAAAAAATTCTCAAACAACTTGATGGTTGGAATAGATACCAGATTTCGAGGGGAGGTAGACTGGCTTTGTGTACTTCCGTTCTCGGAAGTATCCCTTTATACTATTTATCTATATTTGAATTGCTTGTTCTGATTTACTTTGGGGTGACCACTCATGGATCATTGAAACGCCTAGTCAGATGGGACATTGCTTCTCTTTCTCGAGAATCAGGAGGTTTAGGAGTTGGGAGCCTCTTAAAGAAAAACAAAGCACTAGTAGCAAAATGGGTTGGAGATTTAGCAATAGGCCTATAGCTTTATGGCGGACAATGGTAGCAAGCATTCATCGCGCTGATGATCTTGGTTGGAATGTGGCAGTGAGAAAGGTTGGCAGCAGACACAGCCCCGGTTCAGCATAAAAAAACATTGGTTATTGATAGAAAAATTTACCAGATTTTCAATTGGCAATGGGAAGAGAATTCTGTTTTGACACCATTTATGGAATGGGTCAGCTTTGCTAAAAGAGCAATTCCCTTCCATTTTTAACCTCTCTTTACACCCTTATATGACTGTTTTGACACCATTTAGGAATTCATGATCATGACGGTTAGAAACAAGATCTTTGGCCCTCGAGGGGCAACCTGGTTGGCAATGGCTTGAGGTCTCTTGATGGCTTAGAGGTTTCAAGTTCAAATCTTTCGGTGAGCTTAATATAAAAAACCCTTGATGTCTCTCGGGTCCGGACCTTGGAGCGGGTGTGGGCCGGGTATAGAGGAGTAAAGCTCCGATTCTGTTAAAGAGATCTTTGAAACATGATTAAATTGACGAGGATGTGAGGAGATGGACCTTGGAGTCCAGACGAGTTTTCCATCAACTCCCATGATAGATTACAGTGCAAGCTCCCATATCTTACAATTTCTCCCAAATGGTGCATCATTTGTGAAAGTGATGGAGAAACACAACCTCATCTCTTCCTCACGTGCCCCCTTGCAAAATTATTTTGGAATGAGATATTAATAGCATTAGATTGGAAAGTGGCTCTACCTATCGATATCAAGGGTTTACTCTCATATGTTCTCTTGGGGCATCCATTCAAGAAAGAGAAGGCGATCGTTTGGAAACATATCCTTCAAGCTTTCTTTTGGACATTTTGGAATGAGAGGAACTATAGACTCTTCATAGAAAAAGATCTCACTTTGACTAGACTCTTCCTAGAATATCATTTTTCTTGCTATGTCTTGGTGTAAATCACTCCTCTTTTTTACTCTTATAGCATGGTTTCTCTTTTGACCAATTAAAGAAGTTTCGTGTAATTCCTTTGATTTCAAGGTTTTCACACCCCTTTTTAATTTCACTCATCAATGAAATTGTTTCTTACCAAAAAAAAAAAATAATAATAATAATAATAAGTAAGCTCTTTGTGCAAAAACAGCAATGATCCCAATAACCTTCCTAAGGATTATGTCACAAAGCTTTGGAGTTTTGGTAGTCTGAAAAAAGTTAACTGCTTGTCTTGCATTCTACTCAACGGGAATATTCTCAAAGAAGTTACCTAAAATGGCTTTACAGCCCTCCTAGTTTGTCCATTTGTGGCTACCTGCTGGAATATTCTCTTCAAAATTTTCAACTTTCATGGGTGTTCCATGCGGATGTCTCCAAGAACGTTTACCAGCTTCTGTTTGGCCTAAAGATTCCTTGTAATTCTTACCTATTGTGGGTTAATGGGATTAAAGCTTCTCTATCTGAGCTATGGTTTGAAAGAAACCAAAAGATATTTGAAGATTCAAAGCTTCATACTGATGTGCTCTCTCCAACTCATTTGATGATTATTCACCTAACGTTTTTTGTTATAATTGGGAAGCTTTTACTCGAAAGTTGTAATTGTGCTCTCTTCAACTCTTTTGTTCTTTCTTCATTTTTTATAGCTTTCTTTCTCAGTCCCTTGGGAGATTGTATCTTTGAACAATATTTGTTCATTTTCATAAATTAGATGAAAAGTTTGTATTTTGTTAAAAACAAACAAAAAAAATTCTTAGTCTTAATAAGATTCTGATTGTATGTTGCCTAGGTTGGCACAGATTTGCATAGGGCAGAGGAACAGATTCAGAAATTTAAAGAAGAAGCACAAGCTTGTAAAGATCATATGCTACAGGTGCATAAGTTTTATATTGATGTAATTTGTTGTGATTCAGTTTTAGTAACTTTGAGTTAAATTTTTGAGTTTTCAGTACAAGAACATAGCTCAGGTAAATGAAGAAGCTTTGAAGCAGATGGAATGTGCTCATGAAACTTTCAAGATTGAGGTATTTTAGAACTTCGTATTGGAAATACCTGGTGGTTTTTTATTTTATTTTTTTTATTAATAATTGAGTTACACAGCATTATTGGCAAATAATCTGTAGGCTGACAAGATGAAGAAATCATTAGAAGCTGACCTCCTTCAGCTTAGAGGGAAAGTTTCTGAACTTGAAAATGAATCTATCTTAAAATCTCAAGAATTAGCTTGTGCTGCTAATTTGAAGGAAGAGGCGATTGCTTCTTCTCTGGGAGAGATTAGAAATCTAAGTGAAGAAAATGCTGCTAAATCGTGAGTAATCTTTGTTTATAAAACCCGTGTGTTGGTAAGTAGTTGACTCATCAAAGGAGTAATCATTTTCTGTAGGTCCAAGATACAGGAAATGGAAATTCAGATATCTTATTTGAAGGAAGATTTGGAAAGGGAGCTGCAGAAATGGCGTGCTGCACAAGCTAATTATGAAAGACAGGTTATTAGATATTATGTTCATTATTATTTTAATATGGTAATTGAAGAATAAAGATCAACCTGGCATCAAATACAGTGATTACTCACATTTTGCATTGAAAAGTTGTTGCAATATTTGAGAGGCTTTTTTTCAGGAAAGGAAGTGTAGTGGGTCTGTAAACCATTTGGCGAGTCTAGAAACAGTCCAAAAATGTCTTTAATATGTTAAAGATTTGAATAAATTTATTTTTTTCTAAGAAACTGGACAAGGTGTTGATTGACGTTCTTTCATTGAGTGTAGCCTTATTTTTAGAGATAACTTGAAAGTGCAGGCAATTTTTACCACGCCATTGTGATTTTTATGTTTTTTCTGCATTGCTTTTAAAACATCTTCATTGACAATTGAACCAGTTGCCAAATATTTTCATTTTTTCCAATATTTTGAGTTCTATGTAGCCTTCTTGTTTGTGAAGAATGTTAAGGATTTCCAAGATCTGCTTAAATTTCATTATGTAGCAGTCTTGGTAAGTTAAATAATCTGCTTTTCGTTTTGAGGAAACAAGTTACCTCCTGATCAGCTTGTCTATTTGTGTATCAGGTTATTCTCCAGTCAGAAACGATTCAAGAGCTGACAAAAACATCGCAAGCTTTAGCTTCTGTTCAAGAGGAAGCAGCCGAGCTTCGTAAATTAGCTGATGCATACAAAAGAGACCATGTAATGTTTCTTTTTGCACTTCTAATGCTTAAAGAAAAGGCCCTTGAAATGTGACTTCCATATTGGTTAAATCATCGATCAACACAAAAGCTCCGAATCAACTTAAAAGCTTGAGCTGATAGGTTAGAGTAAATTTTATCATATTTTGTAACACTCTCCCTCACTCGTGGACTTGAAAATTTACCAAAGATGTGGTAGTCATTATTAAATGAAGAGGAAATGACAATACAAGGCTTTTCGAAGATAGACCTCTTGCTTTGACACCATGTTAAATCATCAATCTATACAAAAGTTTTGATTGTTGGGTTAGGGTAAATTTAATCATTTATAGATATCTTAACATTATATTCTTAGTGAGTTTTGAACCATTATTTTGGATGTAGATGTAACATTACTTTTTTTTTCTTTATTTTTTAATATAATAAACCAAGCTTTCATTAGATGTTAACATTACTCTTCTCATTCCTGAATCGAAGAATGAGCTGGTGAAGGATCAATATACAGTTGTTTCTTGTTTAGAAAAAACAACCGCCGAGGGCTTGTGACTATTTAAATATTAGTTTGTAAATCCTTTGTTTACCACAGATGGTGTGGGATGGATTGAATTTCTACCAATAATGAGAAACTATAAAATCATGTTAAGCCCCTTCAGCACCTATCTTCTTGTCCTTCTCTTTGATCTTTCTCCTCGGTATTGGCCCCCTCATGTTTTGATTCTGCGCAAAAGTTTTTTTGCATGCTCCTTATTCGTTTCTTTCATCCTTCCTAGTTTATTAAAAATTTCTGAATTTATTTAGTTGTGTTCAACTTTTACCAGTATAAGTAAGGACCGGTTAGTTTAAACTTCCGGAGGATTCATCTATGAAATATAAAATGGGATTCTTAGAAGTTGACAAGCAGATGCAGTATTAGTAATGATATATTTTGAGCCTTGTGGAACAATTTATTGCTAGTTGCATGTGGAACAATTTATTTATTTATTTTCAATAGTTCTTAGCAGCTTCCTGTTGTGTAAGTTTGAACACATAGAGCCTCTATTACCAGCAAGAAAATAAAAAAAATCAAATAGGAGAATACCCCTTATAAATGCCTATTTGATAAGATAAAATTTGTTATTACCAAAAAATATCCGGAATTTTCATTGATCTCTCTGTGCTTGCTTTTTGGTTTTTGATCTTTTATTCTGTGTAGGCTGTCGGTTTTATTTAATTATATCTTTTTGCATGATCATGCTTGATGTCTTTATGTTTTATGTAGGATGAACTAAAAGCCAAGTGGGAAGAAAGGAAGTTAGCACTTGAGGATTTCAAGAATAAAGCTGACAAGGAATACACCGAACTCAACGAACAGGTCATTCCTAGTTTTTTATTTTTCATGATGATATTTTTATATCAGAAATTGTGCTACTTCATTTTATTAGGAGATCTTATTCCAAGGATAATGGTTAGCACATGCCAATGTTTGAGAGTTCTGACATTTTATATTTTAGCCTTTTAACAATAGAAATCATATGGTGTTAACAGATTTATCTGTTTGCTGTTGTGGCTGAGAGCTATCAATACTAGCCAACACAGTAGCCAAATCATCAATTGCTCTGTCATTTATTTTTTTCATGAACACAATTTACTGGATAGGTACTTATTGTCTTAATCATAGTTGTAACTACATATATAATTTTTGTTGATGCATATATCTTCCCATCATTTCTTATTAGAAAAAACAACAAAAAATAACCACCAGGAATGATATGAACGACAAAAGCTTCAATTTTAGTCCTTATTGGTATAGAATCCAAAATTAGATACTGTCTTCTTAAATTTCTTTTTTTGTTCTGTATATACTTTATATTCTAGACAAAAACCTGTAAATGCAGCTGAGACATTTGCATTATTGGCTTTGTATTGAATGTTACATGGACTTCTCCAATTTGTTTTTTTGCTTTCGAATTTGAACTTTCGGTATTCATTCTTTAGAATAAAATTCTGCTCATTCAACTTGAGGCTTTCCACATTCGATCGGCGGAGGAAGATCGAAAGATGGTTGGAGTTTCTTCTGAAAGCAATGCAATTGAAATGGTTGGTGATGCAGGTTTACAGAGTGTGATTAGATATCTCAGACGTACAAAAGAAATTGTAATGTTCCTTTTCCATATTGGCACTCCCTTATTTTATTGTTAAAGTTTTTATGTTTCATGCTTTGTTGACCCAGCTATACTGCAGTGTTTTACTCCATGTATTGGGCAATATAATAAAATGGCGCTCCTCACCTTCATTAATAATATGATGCCAAAGAAGATTCTTTTATGATTTTGAAGGATTCAGGCAATTATTCTAATAAATCAGTTAACTATTAGATGTTGGACTGTAACTAAAAGGTAGACGTTTATCTGATTCTTGACTTTTCATCTAAAATTGAACTCTTTTTTTTTTTTTAATTTATGAAATTGATGAGGTAGATGAGAAATGGGCAGATAAAAGAGTCTAAGCCCTAACTTAGCAAAGATAGACTCCAATACCAAGGAATAATACCTAATTGGCAATTACAAAAAGGCCAAGAAATTGACACGCACAATATCCAATTGAGGATTTTGAATAAGGGAAGGTAAGGAATGCTCTCTTCTCTCTCTTCCAAAGACAGTTATTTCTTCTTCATCTAGTCTCTATTCAAGAAAATTTCATTTTCAGCATCCCTATCTTATTAGCATCATGGAAATTAGTAGCTGTTATACTGAAAGCAATCATTTTTCCATTTGGTTTGATAATGAATGCTATTTCATTGAAGGTTGAGTAACAAGGTTGTTTAGCCTCTTCATTTGTCATCTACATTGGTTGCAAAGTCAATTTGTTGTCCTATTACAAAATCCAATCCAAGATGATTTTTACAAACAAGAAAGAGACGAGTATGGAACTTTCAGAATTCGGAAATTTAGATTTAACCATCGATATTATGTCAAATGCATTGTCTGGTCAATACCTCTGCAGAAGTTTGAAGGTCATTATTCCAAGAAGAAATGTCTATCTCTGAAGAAAAGATCATGACTTCTTCAGTACCTAACCATGCAAGTATCAAGAGTGATGGAAGTGTGTGGATTAGTAGTTCATGAGATCAATGCAAAAAGAGACAAAAACCAAAAGTCACTTTTCCATGAAGATAATTTCTTGGAATACAAGAGGTTTAGGAGCTAGTGGAAAGAGTTGAACAATCCCTTCGGAAGCTTTGCCCTGAAGTAGATCTTATCCAAGATTCTTGAGTTTCAAAGTCGTTAAACAGTTTGATGTTTATTTCATTGGTAATTATGTGAAGGAAGCATTTTTGGGTCCAATTAGCATTGATTCATTCCTATTTATAAGAAGCATGGTACATCAATGGTGTTTCTAAGATAACTTGTTGACCCTTTTATCATTCTCTAGTAGGAAGAAAGACCAGAGATTTAAGAAGAGTCATTTAAAACTTTGAAGAGCTGGGTTTATTAGGATGAGGATGTCCCCATGTGAGACTTTGTCTTGAAGAAGATTTTCGAATTATGATGATGTCACTGGTTGGAGCTCTTTTTTGGCTATCATTGAAGAAGTGTTTAGACCTGTTTTCGAGCTTCAAGTCTGATTATTTAGCAAGATCATTCTTCTAGGGTGTCCTATTAAATTTTTGGCTTTCTACAATGTTTTCTAGTTGATCTTTTCTTCTGGTGTTTGTTTCATTATGTTTGGTAATGATTTTGAAGTCTGATGGTAGTGGATTCCACTGATATTCCTTTTTGTTCCAAGATCTCCCCTGGCGATTATATTCTCGAATGTTTAATTCATCTATTGGTTATTGTAATGTTTGGAGAACTTGGCTTTTGTTTGGGGTTTTTTATTCTTTTATTTATTTATTTTTTAATCTCTCTCCACTCACTTATTTCTTTCTTTTCATCTACCAATCCTCTGAATTGAACTACCCCACAACACAGCAAGAAAAAAAGAATGCCAAAAGAGTCTTCCCGTATCTCAAGAGGAGGACAACATAGAATAACAATCTACGGATCCCAAACATTTGAATTTTTATCATCAGAGCTTATTTTGTTAGTTTAGTACTGATATTTATTTCTAGACTCTAACAGGCGATTCCAAATAATCTAAGCAAACTTGTAGCTTCTAGAAATATGACAATTTGATTACTACTTTAGATACTCATCTCATAGTGTTAGTTTAAGATTAACTGTCTCGGACAAAAAGTGGAGATTTAATGTCTTAATATTTCTTCTATTGAAGAATATATCTTTTTGTGGTTCTCTTAATATTTCTTGAAGTCTCTTTGTGTGTTCGCTCCTCCATCTGAATCGCTGGATGCACTGGTGCTTTCGTAGATCGTGCAGCATAATCAATCATGTTCCTGTGTTGTCTCTTCGTTTCTGTTTATAGTTGGTTGACAGCACTGAACTATGCTAATGTTATTTGCTATGTAAACAGGCTGAAACAGAGATATCCTTGCTAAAGCAGGACAAGTTGAGATTGCAGTCACAAGTAGGTTCCTACATTTTTTTTCCACTTTATAGTTTGCATGCATTTCTGCGAAGAAGTGGATTCCTTATTTGTGACGGGTATTTCTCCTATGTAAGAAAAATCTTGTTAGTACATATTTGAATAAGATTAAATATTTTATTCCTCTCAAAACTAGTTAGAATGGGGAAGGAAGCTAATCTATGTCTCCTCAATATCAATATATCTTATAATAAGTTCGGTATCTACGAGAAATGGAAATATTATGGAGAGGTAAAACATCCCTGTTTGATCATTATTAGTGTCATTGGCCCCTTGAAAGGTCTATTGTTTCAGTGAAGTGGTTGGCTTGCAGAGATGGCATCAGAGAGTACAATTTTCTGCTAATTATGTTGTGAAACCTACGCCCTTTTTGTGACAGGGAGTAACACGGAAATATGCATTCAATAGCTTTAGACCAGTTGATATTTGAAATGGTCATGAACATAAACAAATAAATGTTCACCTGATACCATTGGTGTTTTTGGTAGTTCAAATCATTTTATGCTTGTTATCCTATAAATGATTACATTTACCCTAACCCATAAGCTTAAGTCTTTGGATTCATTTGTGTTCTAATTATGTTTAAGATGGTATTAGAGCACTGAGTCCTAGCGCAATTAGGATTTTGTGAACCTTAGGGTTTTGGGAACTTTGTGAGCCTCCAGTAACTGTTGAGGTTCCAGAATTGTTACAGTCAAGACTGATCATTGACCCTGAGAAATAATTTTTATGAGCATTTGCATTTTTATGCCTTGATGCACTGATCAATGTATCTATTTGTGATGAGATACTCTGTATGGGATCTTTTTTTCGTATCATTTTATTTCATTTTGGTGTAAACCAAATGAAGGAATTCTTATTAAAACAGAACTCAGAAGTGACGTGTTTAAATAAAGGAGGTTGGCTTTTATAGCCGGCCAACCTAACTAACAGAAGCTAACTACTGAAACAAAAGATAACTAACAGATACTAACAGAAGCTAACTAATTACATCAAATTTCCTCAAAATCAAACTGTTGTCACTGAATATTTGTTTTCTTGATGGTTTACTAATAGCAAATAGTCTTTATTTGATGTAGCCTAGTAGGCTTTTAGTTATATTATAGGTACTGTTTAGTTAAATAGCCCTGTTCTGTTGGTTACCCTGCTGGATGGTTGATTATATATTTGCTGGTTGTTTCTTTAGTAGTTTATACTTAGGATAGCTGATTAGTTGTTAGTTGTGCTATGGTTGGATAGTCGCCAATTTTTTATATTCGACTATACTGATATTTATTGATATATGGAAAGATACAAAATAATTCAATGATACAAACTCCCAAGGGAAATGAAAGCATCCAAGAAATAAAAATAGGTTTCTTATCAAAAAAAAGAAATAAAAATAGTATTAGGGGAGTAATCTTTAAAGAGAGGTAGAATCGAGCCAATCTCTTTTCTTATCTTTGAAAAGCCTTTGATTTCTCTCAAACCAAATTTCAGCGAGCAATCCTTTGACTGCGTTGGACCAAATCAAACGGACTTTTGGGGAAGAGCCGGACCATTTAAGAGCTTTTGAGCTCTGTTATGTTGGTTACCCCTGCTGTATGGTTGATTGTATAGTTGCTGGTTGTTTCTTAAGTAGTTTATACATAGGATAGTCGGTTGTTAGTTGTCCTATGATTGGATAATCCCCATTTTTTTTAAATATATTCAACTATAATCCTTTTGAGCTCTTTCGAAGGTCCAGTTGAGGCCACTGCGTTAAGGTGTCAAGCCTTGACGTTGAATGGTGAAGGGATTTTTTTTCATTTTTTATCTACTTTGGAAGAAGCCGTCTGATTGTTCTCTTATCTCCTTTTGGTTTCTCATACAGGTAGAAAATGCTCTTAAAGCTGCGGAGAGTGCACAAACTTCACTTCATGCTGAACGTCAAAGTTCAAAAGCATTATTGTTAACCGAGGAGGAAATTAAGTCTTTACAACTTCAGGTTAAATTTAATTTCTTTCTTGGCTCACGTGAGATGATTTTATTTTTTAGGACGAGTAAGCTAGAGTAGGGAATAACTGTACTTGCTGTTTTATTTTCCCTGACATGTAAGGATATGAAGGTTAACTTTTTTACAGGTCAGGGAGATGAACTTGCTTCGCGAAAGCAATATCCAACTGCGAGAAGAGAATAAGCACAATTTTGAGGAATGCCAGGTACCTTTAAGAAACATCAATTTTCTCCTCATTTTTTTTCTTTATTTTACCCCTCAATCACGTGTGGGAGATTCATAATTTCAGCTCCTCTGGGGAACTTCTACTAATTTAAAAAAATGCTTGATAATAAATAGAAACTGCGGGAAGAATTTAGTAAGGCTAAAATTGAGATAGAGAAGTTTGAGGGCATGCTGAGAATGAGACAAATAGAGATGGAATCTTGTAAAATGGAAATTGAGTCGCAGAAAGCGGATAAAGTTCATCTTGAAAGCAAAGTTTCTGAGGTAATATTTGGATATTAATTTTCTTGTTTTATCAGAATTCTATTCCATTGTTCGTTTAGAAGGATGTCCGAGTTCATTTCTAATTTTTGATTTGTGTATGTAGTTGCTTGAAAGATCTAAGAATATAGATTACGAAGATTATATTCGTGTGAAGGATGATGTTCAAAGAATGCAGGTAACTACTTGTTCTTGTTATCATGAGAGTATTTCTATTTTTAATTTATGTTTTTTCTTATATAATTGGAGGATTGGGGCCCACTCTTTGCATTATGCTCATGTTCACTCTCTTTTAGTCCCCGTGGAGCCTTTACGAATCCACTCTGTAATTGACAAAAGGTCATTCATTGAAATAGTTTAACATATGTGGAGGAAATTATATTCTTACAATTTTCAAATAACATGGATTAATTATGCGTATTCTCTACCATCATGGGATGACCTAGTGGTCAATAAGGGTCGATGTAAATAGCAAAGGGCTTAGAGGGAATGGGTTCAAACCATGGTGGTCACCTACCTAGGATTTAATATCCTACGAGTTACCTTGTCAATCAAATGTAGTAGGGTCACGCGGTTGGCCTGTGATTAGTCGAGGTGCACGCAAGCTGGCCTAGACACACGGATATAAAAAAAAATTATGCTTATTCTAGTAACAAGGATAAATTTGATTGAAAAATCACTCCAATCTGTTTTCTTATCAAAGGAAGGGTACACGGGAGTTAGAAGGGAGCTCCTAAGACATGAATATGTATGGATAGTTATGGATAGTTACTAGGATATATGGATATTTATGAGTAGTTACTAATATACAAAGAAGTTAGAAGGGAGATCTTTGGATATATGGATATGTACGAGTACTTACAAATATAATAGGGAGTTTGGAGGAAGTTCTGGGATATAGGGTAGTTACAGGGTAGTTAGAAGTGTGTGGGAAGGGAGTTATGGATATGTATGGGTAGTTAGTAATAGTAAATAGTATATAAGGCTCCGTAATTAGAAAAGAGGGGAAATCATCATCTTATGTGTACTGTGGAGAGAACGGTCCGTCTTGAAAGTTTGTTAGTTATGTAAATCTCTTGTTTCGTTGCAAATAAAGAGCAATTGCTCTTGTTTGCCGATTAAAATTAGGATTATACACAAGGATAAACTAGTGAAGAGGTCTCTCTTGATCATCTTTGGGATAGTTTTTACATCTTAGGACCATTGGGCCCCTTAAATCTAAGTCCTTTTGTGATTATACCTTTCCAGCTTTACTAACCAAGTGGAAACTGGAAAGCCTTAGTTCATTGGTCATTCCTGTACTCGTGAACTCTTTTAACAAGAAGTGGACTATTTTATTTATTTATTTATTTATTATTATTATTATTATTATTTTGGAGAAGATACAAAATTTTCATTTGTATATGAAAATATACAAAAATTGTTTAAGGATACAAACGAACTAAGAAGAAATAAAAACATCGCAAGAACCATAGATAATACTAGGAGAGTAATTCAAAAATTGTTTAAGGCTATATCAAAATACTCTAGCCCCCTCTCTCTTCTTAAGAAATTCTTTGGTTTCGTTCAAACCAAATTTCTGATAATACTACTTTAACTGCATTTACCCAAATTAAATGGGCCTTCGGTTAGTGAAACGGATAGAATAGTAACTGCTGCAAATTACTCTTAGAATCGTCTGAAAAAACCACGACCACCAGCCATTTAACACGAGCAATGAGAAAGTGTGTGGCTTTGACTTTTACTGTTGGACCAGAAATGTGTATATTGCACTTTTCTGCTTTATTAACGAAATGTAAAGCCTTAACTCCTTGGTTTTTCGTGTACTTGTCAATACTTTTAACAAGAAGTGGACTGTTTCTTCTATGTAAAGGAAAAAAATCTCATTGAGGTTAGAGCATGTATTTAACAATCATTTAAACACGGAACATGTATATTGCATTTGTACCATGTATTTGTTTGCTTGTGCTTGGAAAGGACTCTCTCCTGATATTAACTATGATGATATGGAAAATAACATTTGTAGTCTATTTTGGTTGCTTTTAAGAAAAATATATTGCTTTTCTTTTGCACCAAACGATACAAGAGAAAATCAAGTTTAGTGTTCTTGGTCCGGGAATCATCATGTTTTATGAATATTATTAGGATCTAGCACATATTTGTTAATTGCTGGATAAATGTGTTAGGAGTTGATGGTTATAAATAGAATAAGTTGGGGGTTTGGTAGGTAGGCACAATTTTGGGGTTAGTTCTCTGAGTGATAGCCCTCTTGAAAAACTATAACTAGTTTATTTTCTCTTTGATATTGCAATATAAAGATCTGTTTTCTACTCTAAAATTTCTTTTACTAGATGGAGCTGAATGAGAAAGATTCCGAAATTGAGAAAGTCAAAATGTTACTCACTGAAAGACAGGAATCATTATCTCAATTGGAGCGCGACCTTTCAAATTGCAGATTTGAACTGAAGGAAAGGGAAAAGAAGGTGAATGATATTCAACATATTGAGGTACGCAAGCTAAGTTCATGAGTATTAGTATTTAATTTTTGAATTGTCTGCTTGTTTGAGTTAAGGTTACATTTTTTTATATGGAAACAAACAACTGAGGTTATATTCATCTGCATAATTTGTGCGCCAGGCAAATCTGAGGGCAGATATGGAGAAACAGAAGAAGTTCTTTGCTCAGTATAAGGTATGTATTTTATATTTCTGTAGCTGTTTGGCTAGCTTACACCACCATTTCTACAATATTTGACATTGAGAAATTGTAGGATATTTATCTTAGGTAGGCTTGAGTCAAGGTATTTGAGTTCACGGCTTCCTTTTTCTTTATAAGAAACGATAGTGATTTCATCAAGAGAAAGTGAGAAACTGGAGAATTAAAAGAAGGCCCTCCAACCAGTTTGGACAAAAGAAAAACAATATCATTCTTCAAATGATCCTTAGACTTCTCTTCATCATTCAAGACTCTACTGTTCCTTTCTAACCACACCCATCCACAAAAATGTTGTCCATGCACTAAACCAAATAATCTTCATGTGCTGTTTAAAATTTTAATCTGAAAACATCTGTACAACAAAAGCGCTGCCTGAAAAGTTGTTTTCATTCATTCAGGAATTTGTATTTGAACGTTTAGCGCTGTTATTTTCCAATGCCTTTCATATATTTTCATTCCTTCGAGAGTTTATATCTTTGAACATTTCTATTTCTTTTTATATATGAATGAAAAGTTGTTTCCGATTAAAAAAAAAGATATTCATTTTAGAACTAGGATAAATTAGGAAACTCAATTATTTATGGAATCATACCTTCCTCCCAACTATTTTTTTAATTAAATTTACGCTAAAGCTTTTCGTTTTAGTTTATATCATAAAATACCTGTAAAATGCATAATGGCAGAAAAATCCAGTAAGGGTACTGTCCAACAATCTATTTGATACAGTTCAACAAGTTTATTAATACCACTGCTTATTTGGCAGCGTAAGTTTGAAACCGTGTCTAAGGAGAAGGATGAACTAGTCAAAGAGAATCAAGCTCTTTCAAAGCAGTTGGAGGACATTAAGCAAGGTAGCACAGCATTTTCATTCTCATAGATGAATCTGTGGCATTCCTGTTATTTTTAGTTATTGTCAATGGTGTCTGGACTTTAAATGATAATGTTTTTATCTTCTTCATTTTTTTTAAAGTGAATATCGTAGGGAAAAGGTCTGGTGGAGATTCAACTGGTGAACAGGCCATAGAAGAAAAGGACACTAAAATTCAGGTTAACTCTTTTTTTTTATAGGAAATTCAGGTTAATTCTACATCACTTATTGCGTGTATTCTGCATTTCCTCTCAGTTTTCATTTGTTTTTTAACTTCTGCACAGATTCTTGAGAAACATCTGGAGAGACTGAGAGAAGAACTGAAAAGAGAAAAGGATGACAGTCGTACAGAAAAAAACAGGCGATTGAGAATTGAGAAGGCAATAAAGGATTCTTACACTATAGTTGAGCAGGTTTCATGATTTTCATTTTTGCATTTTCCATCCATCGGATTTCTTAAGCAAAACACAATTTTAGTCATCAACTTCTCTTGACAAAAGGCAAATGCAATTTAACTTGGTGAGGTTCAATAATAGTCCATCTTCAGATGCACATAAAACCAAATTGCCTATATTGTGACATGGATTATGGATATCGTAGTGGATCATTGGTGAATTTCGTTATTGATTTTGTGAATCAGTTCTAGTTTGATGTATGATAGTTCTCCCTTGGGGGCAGAGTTGTGTCAAAGTCACATATTGGCAGTGTCATAAAGTTTTGGCTAACTTCAGTAAGAAATTGAAAGTCTGAACCTGAGTTGTTTCTTACTTTGAAGCCTCCTACCTATTCTTAATATTTGTGGAGGATTCCATGATGGATAACACTTTCATGGTCCTGTGAGGAACTTAGGATGTTTAATTCAAATTTTTTTGAGCTAAAAGAATGGGATTTAACTTCTTGTATGCATTCAACCATATTGAAGGGAAGGATGAGTGTCTTTGTAAGAAACTGAAAATTCCCCGGTTATGCTGCTTCACCTAATTTCTCATTGAATTGGAAAGATATTGCAAATTTGCTAATGTACAAAGTTAAACCAAGCTTTGATTTGCCATTTTTTTCCCTTTTTTCCATGTCTTGATATTGTATGTCTTTATCTTCACTTTATGTAGGAAAAATCAAAGATTTTAAATGAGTTGGGGAAGCATAGGGGAACCATGAAGCAGCTGTCTGATGAACTTGAAAAGCTTAGACAGTCTAAAAGCAGTCCTCCGGAGGTAATGACTTGGTTATTCTAAATTCTGGTATGTCGTGCTTTGATTGCTTCTTACTTTGAAGCCTCCTACCTATTATTAATATCCTGCAGTCTTTAAACCCATATAAAGATGTTGGAATTTTGATATTGTTTTATTGATATGTGTTGGGAATTGATTAAGCTGACATTCTTGAGAATTAATGTGAACAGATTGATTGATACTTACCTGTCAAAGCCTTCAATGACATTTCTTCTCTGGTTTCTTATAAAATTATTAGAAAGAAGAGAAAAAAATCTTGCCTAGCACTCTGGTGGGATCTAGGATTAATGTTATTTTAGGGAAAGGGGTTGTGATTCATTTCTCTCTTTTATAGTACTAATTGTTTAACTTTTTATTGATGTTGAGCGTTTACAACTGTGACTATTGGTTATAGCAGGATGCTTTAGTTCAGCCTCTTTCAGGGATTGGTTTGGACGATCTTGCTTCTACCTACGTTTTAGCTGTTGAAAATTTTGAGAAGACCGTGCAGTCAGTCTTAACTGATCTTGGAGCTCAAAATGTTCCGTCAGAGGTTTCTGTAGCCACAGATGCTTTACTACAAACTAGTACAGGTGCTTTGATGTGTCATCAAATCATTAGACACTATAACAGTTACGGCCATTATTTATGCCTTTTTTTTCTTTTTTGCCTTTACGTTATGTGAATGCTCTATACTTTGCAGGTTCTGATGCTTCTTTCCAAACGTCTGATGCCACATTGCCAGTGGCACCTGTAACAACTAACTTACCTGCCAAAGCCTTAGAAGAAAGTGAAAAGAAAGGTCAGTTATCCAGGACAAAAGTAGAAACGCGTAAAGCTGGGCGGAAGTTGGTTCGACCTCGTCTTGGAAAACCAGAAGGGCCTCAGGGTGATATAGACATGTCAATGGCAGAATTACCAAACAATGAAAACAAGCGTGCAACTTCTGGAAAATCAGAAACTGAAGGTGAACCAACTCCATCAACCCATCAGCTGGCTCGCAAGCGTGTAGCTTCATCAACTTCTGAGTTGCATGAACATTCAACTATCCCTGGGGAGACCAGTACTGAAATGGCAGCTCCTGTCATGAAGAAGGCTAAAGGGTCGGATACCTTGCCTGAAGACGTTGGTGGACCATCCTCTACCTCGTTGGGAAGTCTCAAAACTCAGCCACCCTTGGAAGAAGTTTCTGATGTTTGTGAGTTTCCACAGGGTTTAAATGAGGAAGCAGTTGATGTCGAAAAAGAGGTTGAAATTCTAGGGGAGAAGGCTGATAGACCAAAAGAACTTTCGTCTGATGGGTCTATGAGCCATGATGAAATACAAACTGACAGGAAAGAAACGCTAGATGAGAATCTGGATAGACAGATTGGAGCAGAGGTGTCGGATGATGGGTTAAAAGATCAGGCTGAACCAGACAATTGGAATCTAACTTCTGAGATTGGAAGCGAGAGAGAGGAAGGTGAGCTGGCGCCTGAAGTTACAGACCTCGAGGGTGGTAATAATATTGAAAACATTGAAATAGGGGAGGATCATATTGAAGCGGTTGCAACACCTGATGCTTCCCCATCTGGAGCTGATGATGATGCTCTGGCTGTCACAGCCATGGAGATCGGCGAGATCAACTCTCCCGAGATTCAAAATGAAGAGAAGAATGATGATGGTGATATAACTGATGAAACTGCCGAAATTTTAGAGAAGTCAACTGATTGCAACCAGATTGACGTGGAGAGTGATCAAGCTGTTGAAACCACCTCAATGTCTACAGAGAACGTCCCAAGTACACCACCAGAAACAAATGATCCGAAACAAGGTAGTCCTACTGTTGTCAAAAGGTCGTCTCCTGTTAGTAGTAGCACGTCTACTACAATAAACTTGCAAGAGCGAGCCAAAGAAAGAGCTATGCTGAGACAGGCTGGAGTTGTTTCTTCATTGGACAGACGCCCCGTGCGAGGATTACGCGGTCGTGGCGGCCGGACAGAGCGTGGTGGCCGTGGTCAAAGATCTGGTCGTGGAGGACCAGCCGGTGAATCCAATAGAAGTTAAGGAGCAGTGATGGATGACTGTATATGATCTGGGTTTCAAAATGGGTTTTTTCTCCCTACACTTTTTTCCTCTTTTTTTGTTTGACAAAAACCATCGGTCCTAGTACTTAGAAGTTCATGCATTGAGCTAGAATTTAATGGGTACAGCAGCTTTTGTTCCTAACTAGTTCCCTCTCCTAAATGCTTTTCTGACGCAGAAGTATGGTGTTGTACAAGGCAGTCCGGTGCCTTTACTGACCTGCCATTGGCCATTTCTTTCTCATAGATCAATTAGAAATGTTATTATAATTATATGCTAGCATTCTTTTCTTTTTTAGTTTAGCGGTTACAGGGTTTGCGGTTCAAGCCGCCTTTAAAATGGTAATGGTTCTCTCTCCGGTTGACATAATTATATCAACAGTTAAATATATGACATATATACCTAGATAACCATTCTACTTTTTGTCCCATTTATACATACATACATATATATATTTTTCTTCTTTGGATATTTGTGAGTGTCCGGACCAGTTTTTACACTCGCACTTTTTGTCTCATTTATATTTATTACTTCCTTTTGCATACTTTGACATGTGTGGATTCATTTTTTATACATGTGGTGATTATATATCATGATTAGTTAGATTATATAATATATTTCTTGTATTGTTATATGGTTATGTAATATATAAAAAGTCGTGTAGTAGTACTTTTACAACAAATAATTCTCTTTCCGGCTGAACATTATATAATATATACATTTTTTTATCATTCATATTATGACACTAGCTCCATCAAATAGCTTCTATTGTTTTATACGAAAATATTATGTTTTATAATATACAACTTGAAGCATATGTTACATGTATGCAAAATATACTTCATTTTGTGAAACATGCTACCAGCATATAATCTTTAACAACACAATATATACTCCATAAAATAGATCATCATAAATAGGTCTTTATTTTGACAAATTCGTAAATGTTATAATTTTTAGACATCTATATAATTAGATATCTATATGTAACTATTACACTAAATTATTATTTCTTAGTTGAATAAACATGTAAGGTAAGTATTTATCCAAAATGTAAACAAACAAGTATAAATCCATTTTCTTGGAATGAATATCACGTCTTTGCAGCAAATCGCTACCCTATTCTCTCTCTATATGCAACAAACTTTTCCATGGCTCACTACTCATGGTGGGGAAAAAACTCTCAACACTTATTATGGGGCGGTTTGTTTTTCGAAAACATAGATGCTAATCATGTTTCTTTTGTATAAAAATTAATAAAGATGTTCGAGAATGTTTGAATAGTTAAGTTTGTTTGGTAAGGTTTATTCTTGAAAATGTTTTAAATTTATATAAGGTTCTAAAAATGACCTTACCAATATTCATATAATAGATTTGTATTTATTAATTTAATATTTTATCTTTCTATTAATTACATATATATTAAATTTTATATATTCTGTTGTTGAACAAATTAATTCATATTAATTAAAGTTTAAATAATTAATATTAAATAAGTCCTTAATTTTCAACTTCAATTTTTTCAAAAACAATAATTGATAGTTAATTATCATATTATCAAATTATACTTTTTTTAAAAATAAAAGAAGATATTATATAATTTGAAAATAAATATAATATATAAACATACTTAGTTACAATAAAATTATTTATTAGTTAATAGGTACATTAGTTTATTTCAATTATAAAATTAAAAAATTAAAATAAAGAAAATTAGTGAAATAAAATATATGAAAAAATAATAAATAGCAAAAATGTAAGGAGAGAATGTTCCAATCATGCAAACTCGTGTTTAAAATAACATGTAAAATACTGAATAAAAAATCCAAATATCCGAATAAATTTAACAATATAGGTAAGAAATTCACCTTGTTTAAAGACTAAAAATTAAGAACAAGACGTTTTTTTAGCGTATCCAATCTTTTAATTCGTGCCTCGACGAAAAAACACTCCACCAAAACGGGAAAACAAAAGAAACGAAACGGTATGAGCTGAGCTGAGCTGAGCACCGTAGGAAAAAGCAACGGTCAACGGTGCGCAATGGGTTTCTTTACTTTTTGTTTTGTCGCTTCGAGAAGTCAGGATTGGAAATTGGGATGAAATGGAAAGTGGAAACCCCTTTTTCACTACTCCAAATTCAATTCAATCCCTCTCTTTGCTGTAAGTAATGGGTTTGTTGGTAATCCAAGAACATGCTCATTCCGATTCTGACCAACATATTCCATTCTCCAAACACCACAATTTCCACACTCCAAGATATGTTTTCATGTGCGCAATCTTCGCCTCCCTCAATTCCGTCCTTCTGGGCTACGGTCTGCTCCTTCTCCTAATCAAATCTTCTCTCTAGATAATTACTCACAAATTTTATTGCATTTCTCTCGTTGGGCTAACGAATTTCACGCAGATGTGGGCGTCATGAGCGGAGCGATCATATTCATCCAAGAGGATCTCAAAATCACTGAAGTAGAAGAAGAAATTCTCGTCGGAATTTTGAGCATAATCTCGTTACTGGGCAGTTTAGCCGGTGGAAAAACTTCAGACGCCATCGGCAGAAAATGGACCATCGGAT